GACAGTTCCGTTCGCACGCTCTTTCTTCACTAGACCGTTGCTAGTTTCACCACGACATCGTGCATCCACTATTTTTCACAGAACAAGTACACTAAGAATTTTAACATGCCTTCATTTAGCTTCTCTGGTGCTGCTGCTCTCTTTGGTCTCTCCGACAAGCTCCTGCACCGAGCTGGAGTAGCTCCCTTCTCCAGCTCCTCGCCGGGCTCTCTCGGGATGGCGGCCTCACGAGAATCCAGCAGCATTCTATTGAAGTTGAGAGAATAAGCTGGAGTAAATAATTTTGACTTTACCTTTCTTTGACTTTGAAATCGCCTCCGGCCACTCTTATTCCATGTCCAAAGGGTTCTTCAGTTCTTCTCCCTCCTCGAGGCCTTCTTTCTCCTTCTAAAGTCCACCTTCACCCATTTGGTCGTTTTAGTGAGATTTTGGTTGATGTCAAATAATTATAACTCAAAAGAAGAGAGTCAGAGATGAGCTTCCACGCAAGGGCTCACAGACACATGCCCGTCAACTGACGATCGTCTCCTTCCAAGTGGGAAACTGTGACTCTGTGAGGTGGACTTTTTGTACAAAGCAATAAGAACTCGAGTAGCTCCGGAGCTCTCACAAAGTCCTAAAGTGGAGTACGAGTGCAGTTGCAATCTTCAAAGTCTGCTGTCATGTTTCTGTGCGTCACAAACAGAATAATTTGTAAGCAAGATGCATCCGATTAGCAGCTTCAGAAACTGTCAAACAACAAATTTTACAATGGACAGTTCCGTTCGCACGCTCTTTCTTCATTAGACCATTGCCAGTTTCACCACAATACCGTGCAGCCACTATATTTCATACAACAAGCACACCAAGAATTTTAGCATGCCTTCGTTTAGCTTGGCTCTGGTGCTGCTGGTCTATTTGGTCTCTCCGACCAGCTCCTGCACCGAGCAGGAGAAGAGCTCCCTTCTCCAGCTCCTCACCGGGCTCTCGCGGGACGGCGGCCTCACGGCATCGTGGCGGCACGACACCGACTGCTGCACATGGGAAGGGATCACCTGCAACCAAGATAGGAAGGTCACTGATCTTTTGCTGGCTTCTCGAGGCCTCGAGGGGCCCATCTCGCCCTTCCTTGGCAACCTCACCGGACTTCTGCGCCTCAACCTGTCCCGGAACTCGCTATCCAGTGGCTTGCCACTGGAATTAGTGTCATCCAGCAGCATCCTTGTTCTTGATGTCAGCTTCAACCGCCTGACAGGAGGCCTGGGTGAGCTGCCATCTTCAACCCCTGTGCGGCCTCTGCAGGTACTCAACATCTCAAGCAACTTGTTTACAGGCAGGTTTCCATCCACAACATGGGAGGCGATGAAGAGCCTGGTCGTTCTTAATGCCAGCAGCAACAGATTTACTGGTCAGATGCCAACTAAGCCATGTGTTAGTGCGCCATCTTTTGCTGTGCTTGAGCTCAGTTTCAACCAACTCAGTGGAAACATCCCTCCAGGGCTCAGTAATTGCTCGGCACTGAAATTGCTTGGTGCTGGCTACAACAACCTCAGTGGTACACTTCCATATGAACTCTTCAAGGTAACCTCGTTAGAGCACCTCTCGTTGCCTAACAATAGGTTAGAGGGAGCTCTTGATGGCATCAGCAAGCTCACAAATCTGGTCACCCTTGATCTTGGGGGGAATGAGCTCAACGGCAGTATTCCAGAGTCTATAGGTGATCTGAAGAGATTGGAGGAGCTGCATTTGGAACACAACAGCATGTCAGGGGAGCTGCCAACAGCTCTAAGCAACTGCACAAATCTTGTAACAATTGACCTCAAGGCAAACCAATTTAGTGGGGAACTTACCAAGGTCAACTTCGCAAGTCTGTCCAATCTAAAGAAACTAGATCTTCTTTCCAATAACTTCACCGGCACAGTTCCAGAAAGCATATACTCCTGCAGCAAGCTGACTGCACTACGGTTATCTTACAATCCTTTCCATGGTCAATTGTCAGAAGAAATAGGCAATCTGAAGTCCCTGTCATTCCTATCACTTGCTAATAACTCTCTTACAAATATCAGAAGAACACTTCAGATCCTAAGCAGTTCCAGGAGCCTCACCACCCTTTATCTTGGGTTCAACTTCCAGCATGAGACCATGCCAGAGGATGTCAGCATTGATAGTTTCAAGAATCTCCAGGTTCTTTATATAAATCATTGTTCATTGTCTGGAAAAATACCTGATTGGTTATCGAAGCTACCGAATTTAGGGATGCTATTTATGCAAGGCAATAAACTAACTGGACCCATACCTGAATGGATCAGCAGCCTACATTTTCTCTTCTCTCTAGATATATCAAACAACAGCCTTACAGGGGAAATTCCAAGTGCCTTAACGGAGATGCCAATGCTAGAATCAGAAAGTACTGCACCAAAGGTATTCTTTGAGCTGCCTGTTTGGAACAAGAACCAATTTATGGAATACCTCACGCCCAGTGCTTTTCCTAAAGAGCTTAATCTAGCCATGAATAATTTCACTGGTATGATTCCGGAGGAGATCGGTCGGTTACAAGGACTATTTTCACTTAACTTGAGCTCCAACAGATTATCTGGAGAAATACCAGAACAGATCTGCAACCTCACGAACCTGCAGATGCTCGACTTGTCTGGTAATCATCTCACTGGTAAGATTCCAGCTGCATTGAACAATCTGCACTTCCTTTCCAGATTCAACATTTCTAATAATGACCTGGAAGGCACTATTCCAAACGCGGGCCAGTTTAGCACGTTTCCGGATTCTAGCTTTGGTGGAAACCCAAAACTGTGTGGCCCTATGGTTGCAAACCATTGTGGTTCAGCAGTAGCAAGTTCAGTTTCCATTGACCCCATAAAACAGATTGGTAGTGAGGCCATCATCTTTATGACTGCCTTCGGTGTTTTCTTTGTAGTGGGAGTCCTATATGATCAGAAAGTCTTAGCTAGACATTTTGGCTAAAACCATGTAACCGTTATCACCGCTTTCAAATGGTTAATATTTGTAAATATTGAGTTTAGAAAATAAGAACATTTGACTCAGCAGTCCAGCAAAGAGTATCTACAGGGAAAGCACACAAGAGGCGCTCCAATGATATCTTATCACAAAAATGTCATTTTGCGTCTCCTTTGTAGCCTCTCCTGCCTAAAGCTGATTAGGTAAAAAACATTTCTTTCCATTCTCTCCTAGCTAAAGCTGATTTAGTAAGAATACTTCTCTTTAGTGATAACCAGAAATAAATCTTGATTTTTAGAAGTACTCTAACACTTATATTAGAGTCAGATGTTTAAATTGCCATGTGTAAAGAGCTAACCAGAAGCCTTGCCAATCAGACCAACTTTGTGTCCCTGTTGTTGTCAAGTACACCCCTGGTGCAAACTGACTTCATTTCTTCCTACATAAGCAGGGTGTCTCGCCCAAAAGCATCCTCCTGAACTGCTAAAGTAAATAAGTTAGATATATAGACACCGTGGAACCACTAATTTCAGAACAATTATATACTGTTTCATGTCAGAATTGTTTTTACTGATTCTCCCACGAGCTAACAGCATGGTGCATAAGAAAGCAAGTAGGCACAAAATCTATTTTCGATCGTGAATATGCATCAAGAAGATCATGTGGCAGCAGATGTACCATGGTAAAAAGAATGCACAGATATTCTAGGCATGAATAATACATCAGCTTGAAAAATGTCTAGCAAAGGTAGAATAGTGTAGCAGGGGGAGGCATAAAGGTTGTAAGGTTTAAAATTAAAAGGTTTGCCCTTGCTCTAAGATACATTTCATGCAACTTACAGTAAATGAGAAAAATAAAATAAAATGATTTGGAAAAAAACTGCAACCTGGAATTTTTGCATATGTAAGAACCAAATGTCATATCAACAATATCAATCAGCTTCAGATACAAAACAAATATCCCAGGCAAGACTATCAAAGCATGTCACATATGTGTACATATGTTGTGGGATTTCAAGCAGGTCAAGCAAGGTACTGCTGTTGGCTAGTAATGCCTGGTTGAGCTTCCCCTCTTCCAAAATCTGGCGCGCTGACTTGACAATGTTAAATCTCGTATCTCCTCTTCCTACAATAAGTGGGAAGAAACAATATTGTCAAACACGTATATGAATATGAATAGAACTGTATTGGGATGGCGTAGAAGCTGTGTCAGGGGATGCGGAAAATCCACCTTCCACTTGCATAATACGGTTTCCCAGTGTTAGTGAGGGACATTGATTCAACAGACTCCTAGCAGCAGCAGGCCGCTGGCTCGTCGACCCCCAGGTTGAGGTGCACTGCCACAGGTCAGAGCTTGAAGATGGCGAGGAAGGTGAGTGGCTGTCGGCGGCGTTGGGGGGATCTGGCCGCTGGGCGACGTGAGACGCGCCTGCGGGTGAGACGCCGGTTGTACGGCGACGCGGCGGGGAGGTCAGGGAACGCAGCTGCCCGCCCTGCAGCGACTGATGCAGCCGAGGCGTTTCGTCGAACACTTGCTGGGCAAAGACCCACACCGCTGACGGGCACGGGTCACGGCGATCAAGCAGTTGACGGAGCCGCTCAAGCAGTTGGCACGGGCACGGGTCCTGAGGGAGAGAGACAGATATGCAGCCGAGGCCCAAAGGATGCGCTGCTCCTCGTCAAAGCTAGTCACCACGCGGCCGCCTGTCCTGCTCACGCCCTGAAGGTGTTTGCGAGAATGTCTCTGTTGCAGAGTAGTATGCCGTGTCTGTCGGACACTTATTTGCAGAATGCACAACACCATCATTTCATTTCATTCCATCGCAGATAAGATCAGTGCCAAGCTCGATAATACTAATGATGATTGTATTAATCGTGTCCACCTAGCTACATACTGTACTACTGAAAACAGCTTCAATCTCCTTGTTGATCAGCATAATCCACCTAGCTACATACTAAAAGCAGCTTCAATCTTGCTGATCAATGAGCATCGGAGCGACTAATCTAGCTAAAACTTTAGCGACCTTGTGCTTATAGAGGAAGGTGGGCATGGGCAGCTCACTCGGGTCCGGCGACACAATGAAGGTCGGCATGGGCAGCTCGCTCGGGTCCGGCGACACCATGAATGTCGGGCCAGCAAAGAATGATGCCTCCGAGTCCTCCTCCATCTTAGTCAGAGGCTCCGGCTTCTTCTTGGACCGGTCGATCGACGAAGCGAGGCCGGCGAAGGGCGATGCCTCCATCACGGTCGGAGGCGTCACCTTCTTCTCCAACCAGTCGACCGACACCACAGGGCCAGCCAAGAGTGTCGCCGCCTCCAAGTCTGCCACCATCTCAGTCGAAGGCTCTGCCTTCTTCTCCGACCGGTCGATCGACGGAGCAGGGCCAGCGAACGATGTCACCACCGAGTCTGCCACCATCTCAGTCATAGGCTCTGCCTTCTTCTCGGACAGGCCGACCGACGACATCGGGCCAGCGGAGATTGATGCCTGCGAGGCTGCCACCATCTCAGTGGGAGGCCTCGGCTTCTTGTCGCATCGGTCGACGGATGGCGCGCGGCTCGCCGGCCTCTTCCAGTTTTCCCTCGGCGTCTCCACGCGGCCGAGGCGCTCGACGCCACCGTTCAAACTCTCGGCACGGCGGAGCGTCTTGTCAGTGGCCCAGCTGGAGCTCCGCGAAGCACGTCCAGGAAGGTCGGCCTTGTCCTTGATCCAGCTTCGGCTCATCGAGGCACGTCCAGGCTGCTGCTTCTTGCTGTCCAGCTCCACACGAGCCGTGTACACCGCCGGAGGAGGCGTCAGGAGGTGGCAGCGCGCCGGGGTAGGCAGCAACGGCGGCAGAGTCGTGGCGACATGGCTAGCCATCTCTGCAAAACACAGGACACAGCAAAGAACAGAGAGACCAAGTGATTGCACAAGCGAAACAAGTAAAAGGAACAATTGCGATGCTGAAATTCAAATGATGATCGGAGAAGAAAGAGAAAACTTGCCGGATTCTTTGCTCGCCGCCGTCGAGAGAAGCTCGTCGGGTTGCTAGGTCGCCAGGAGAACGTCGCGCGGCGCGTGATCTATCAAGGAGGCGGCTTGCTCGTCGATCAAAGGAAAAGTGCGATCTATCCCCGCAGCCCGGCTGATATAGATCGACCCCCGATGCCCCGCCGCGTAGAAACCACGCAATCCGAGTTCGACTCGTGATCGCCGCCGCCGCCGCCGCCCGTGGTCCAACCGCCGGAGCCACCAGCGACGCACCGTATCTGATCTCTCCTCCTCTTCGTCGGTGGCCTGGGCCCACGCCTCGAACATCTCCAGGGCATCTCCCGCGGTGGCGCGTCTGTGCCTGCATCCCGCCGCCGCGGTAGCGAGATGCCGGCCAGAGTTCTCGCTGATCTTCCTCGGCCGCTGTGCCTCTGGTCCAGGGATGGAGCCGCCAACCTTCACAAAGACAAGTACAGTACGTGACGAGATTAGCATCATCCTCGCCTACTTCATATTCGTGGGAGTCCTCGTGGATGTGGACGATGGTAAGGCAATTCGTGCGTCTGTCAAGTGTTTGACGATATGCATCCATGAGAAGAAGCTACAGATTTGGGTGTCAACTAACTCCCTGTCAGAACTATTGTCTCATGGTAAAATACTAATGTACTGTAGGTTCTAGAAGTAGGCCCTGGTTAGTAAGTAGATGGTGGAATTTGTGATTGATTGAGGGGAAGGAAGAGCCGAACAGGAAAGGAGAGGGAGGAAGGACATGCTGACGAGTCACTCCAAGTCGACCCGCTCCCCTCCTCCCACCCAAAAACCCTCGCTGCCGCCACCTTTCCCTGCCCGTCTCCGCAGGATCTGGCCGCCCTCGCCCCCCTTCCCCCGCCCTTGCTTCCCCCCTCTTTCCGCCCTCGCGTCGGCCTCGCCCCTCTTCCTCTCCTCTGCCATCACAGGCGGGCGCCTCCGGCTCCGGCCCGGGGGGTGCCGGCGGCGGCAGGCTCTCCTCTCCCCGCACGCGCGTCCGCCTGGCCCGGGGCGGGAGGGGGGGGGGGCGGTGTCGCTTGGCAAGGCAGCGGTCCGGTGACCCGGCGGGGTGGCCGGCGGCGCTGCTCCTTGGCGGCAGGGCGGCATGGTGGCGCGGGGTGGCCAGCAGCGCGTCCCCGGCTCAGATCTGGGCTTTGCGGGCCCCATCTGGGTCTTAGCGGGTCGGTCCCCGACGTGGCTTCATTGTCTCCTGCGTGGTGAGGCAGAGGAGCGACTTGACAGGGGCGGCGGCGCCGACGGCGTGCCGGCTGCAGCGCGAAGGCGGGAACTTTACGGGTCTCGGAGATCCCGGTCGGGCTTTGTCCGGCCACGGGCCTGGCCTGTTCCTGCTATTGCGTTCGGTCAGCTGCCCTCCCGCGTGCCGACGGTGCTGCTGCCCTAGTCCCGGCTCCTCTTCTTCATTGTGCAGGCCATGCTTCACGGTGCCATGGTGAGACAGCGTGGGAAGCTTCATGACCGGGTTGGCGCAGGGTGGGGGTTTGTTTGGTGGCGAGCTCCGGAGTGGTTGAGGTGAAGGTTGGGATCGGGAGAAATCCCTATTGGCTTGGCCAACACCGACGCGGTGGTGCATGAGGGTGCCGCCAGACCTTCCTGGAGGGCGTCGGGGCTACCCTTCCTCTCTCCTCACCGCGTACCGGGGGAAACCCTTGGCAGCAGCGTCGTCATCGTCGCGTTCCTTCTTGGAGGTGTTGATTGGTACCGGTGCTTCGGAGGCTCGGAGCTTGGTGGGTGATCTCTGCAGGATGCAGCGGCCACGAGGCTTCTTCGTTTTTTTGTCGATCCGCCGTTATCGGTATTTGTTTCTCTTGTATTTTCTCTTTCATTTTTTTTGGGCGTGACTGTGCTGCTTTCGCCCCAGCATCTATCGTTGGTTGTGTCGGTTGGTTGCTTTGTATACAAACCGGGGGAAAACCCATTTTCGGTAAGTAGATGGTATGAACCTCAGCATGAAATTGCTCCTTCAAAGGGTGAAGGGTGGTTGAGGTTTTTGAATTTTCCCATTTGTTTGCCTGCAGATGTTTCAGATGTTCAATGTGGCCTTTTTTTTTTTTGCGGGGGGATGTTCAATGTGGCCTTGACCGGACTTACACAAATAATCCAAATAAAGTCTGGTTCTGCATCTGTTCGCATGTCTGAACAACGTCTTATGGCATTCGAATGGCTATTGCTATAAAGGAGCATCACAGAAGAGGTGTTTTGTTGTCTCAGCTGCACCATTGCACACAGGTTGATTACAATGCTAACCCTGCTAACCCAGTTTCTAACAGTGAGGTAATTAAGTTTTCCATGCGAATAAGTTACTCCTAGAATTTAATTTGTTGTGTACCACTAATTGTTTGGAGCTTACACTCTGTGGCACTTAACTTTTTGCCTATTAATAATCTGCTTACAAGATGCATTTTGACACACGACAACTTGAGTTTGATAAGAGAAGTTATGTCCAGCCATCGACTGTTTTCTCCTGGGAAGTTTCACTACTTCTTGTATCTCAAAGTGAAGCTTATCGAAAAAACTCAATATTTGAGGTACTGCGATAGACATTCATCTAGTGTCTCTCTCGGTTACTAACTTGTTTGGACAGATGAATGACAGACAGCCTTTGAATTCCTCCTGGGAAGTTCCGTCACCGATTGGATATTTGGATCTCTGGACGAAGAGTTTCTTCGTCTTATGCTTTCAGAAACACTTGTTGTTAGAGGTACTGCAAGTTTGTAAAAGACACAAGGGCCCTCGCGTCGTCCCCTTAGGCGACTCGAGGGCGAGTAGGGTTCCGCCACCGCCGCCACCCCCTCCACCCCCTTCCTTCCCCTCGCCGCTACCAGAGACGGCCGCCGGGAAGCCCGCGCGGACGCCGGTGAAGGTGGCGGCGGGGATCTCGGCGCTCCTCCCCCTCTTGGAGGCCCGTGGTTCCTGAGGCGGCGGCCCTTGCCGGAGAGGCGACGTCGTCGGGCGGTGGGCGGCGTTCGTAGGGGGTGCTGGCCAGCGCGCCCGGCCGCGCGGGCGGCGGGTGGCTGGTGGAATCCGGCCGCGGCGTGATTTGCTTCGTCAGATCTGGAGGTGTGAAATCCCTTTTCCCTGATGCCTCTCTCTCGCCTCCGGTGTGGGCTAGTTCTCTGGCTCCGGCGTTGGTGCGTGTTGGTGGTCAGTTAGGGAACCGGGGAAACCTTGGCCGGTCCGGCCGGCCCGGCGGCGGCAACGCCCAAGGGCGCTGCTTTCCTCCATGGGGGCGCAGCCGAGGTCCCCTGCTTTCCACCCCGATCCCCCTGCCTGGGTGAAAACCTTATCCTCGGCGGATTTGGCAGCGGCGGCGCCTTGTGCGTCGTGACCTTGCTGGAGGCGTCGTCAAGGGTGCGGGGCTCAGTCGGGAGGTTCTGCAGGAGAGGGATTGAGCTACCTCCTCTGCGGCGTCCGATTCCTTGAAACTTATCTCCAACTAGTTGGGCATGGACTGTGGCGGAGCAGCCGGCGAGGTATATCCCAAATCGATGTGGTCATCCCATGTCCACCTTGCGAGGCGAGGGAGACATTCTTCCAGCTCTAGGGTGAGCTTCTCGAAATTCCGACGGTGCGGCGCCTACGAGCCATGGCGAGGGGGAAGGGTCCCTCTTCGGTGATTGAGAGGGAAGATGTAGGTTCCTTTCTTCTCTAGGTGCTCCTGGAGCACGGTCCATCCTCGAAGGTCGGCTATGTCCTGATGTGCTGCTCCGTTTCTGCATATGATCCTAGTGTGGAGTGCTTGGCCTTTACTAGCTGATTGCGGCTTGTGGAGGTTGTAGTGAGTAGGCTTTTCAGTGTTCCTCGTTGTATCATTCTGACCGTTGTAAGTTGGTTTGTCTGTTGTAACTCCTGGTCGGTTGATGGCTTTGTTAATTCAAAGTCGGGCTTTTCGCGAGCCTTCGTTCAAAAGAAAAAGAGGTACTGCAATTATTATGCCCTTTTTGTACCACCACATATTGTTTGTCCTCTTGAGAGCAGAGTAAATTGCATTTTCAAGAGGAGAGTAAATTGCATTTTTACTGTCTTGTCTTGAGAGCAGATTAAATTGCATCTACCATTACTAAGAAGTTGCTTTCCACTATTTTCTATTCTCTCACCATGCACACTGTCCACATCAGTGATGTGCCATGTCATATCGCACGTCCACGTCATCTGATGTGCAGTTCAAGATTTGATGCCCCGTGTTTGACGTCCCTTCGGTTGACTCCTCCTTTCTCAGCCCACGACCCACAGAAGGAGAAGAGGAAGCGGACCATCGTCCCTTCGTGCGACTAGAATAACTCCCTCCTCATAACCTGGCCGCCCCGTCTCCCATTCACAGTCTCTCTCCCTCCTCTAGGTTGGCAACCACCGTCGGGGTAGGGCAAGGGCAAGCTGGAGCCCCGGTTCAGATCCAAGGACTTATGATGCACTACACGTAAGTCTCCTCCTTCCCCGCCTCCCTCTGGACATGCCTAGCTAGGCCCTATTCGATCTGATTCAGTGCTGATCTAAGGTTTCCGCCTCCCCTGTTTGTCCCCTTTTGCCGCGCAGCACGATATGCAACAAATTTGTGAGAGGGGAAATTTTTCACAGGCGGTTGTAGCTATGAAGAGGCAAGAGGTGGTCAACGTGAAATCTGCAGCCCAACTGATTCAATTGATATGAATTGTAAGGTAAGCATGCATGCACAGTTGTGCTCGGTGTATAATTATGATTTATCCGCGCACACGAGGTTAACTATTGTTAGCCCGTCCAGATAGATCATCTTGCGGTCTCGACCTTGCTGAATAATTACTGAATATTCTTTGTTCGACATTATTTTTATAAGAATATTTCATTTCATTTTACTTTATTTATTTTGTAACCTGTAGTTAAATCACGCAAAAGCTGTCAACACATGAACAATGTATTTTTAAGGGTTGGTTGCATTTGATCTGAATGTGTTTTCTAGAGTCATGTTTTGCAAGCTAAATATTTATTTAACTGTCGGGTAAGTTGCTGGTGAGGTGTTCACATCTGTATCTTGGCCATGTA